CCCACCTTTGTTAAGGGAAAGACTTCCCTTTCTCTGGAATCCTTTAGGAGCTACCCTGCATCCCTTTCCTTTTCCTTCTCTTAAAGTCTTTTCTAATTCAGAAAAAGAAAAAAGTAAAGAACTTTCCTTCTTTTCAAAGGGAAAGAAAGTTGTGTCTTGCAAAAACAGTGGAAATTCCGTGTGTGGAAATAAACAAGGCAGTCCCAGCAAATTTGAGCACACTTATTTTGTTTGTTTTGAGGCCACACCCAGAGGTGCTGGGGGCTCACTTCTGGCCCTGTGTTCAGATTCACTCCTGGAAGGGCTCAGGTTCCTTGTGGGATGGGAGGGAAGAACCTTTCAACATTCAAGGCAAGCGTCCTACCTGCTGTACTTTTATTCTAATGTCTTGAACACACTTTGTACAAAATTTGATGATACAGACATATTTGATGAATGTTCATGGATACACGTATATTTGACATGTATGCATATGATTTTAATATTTTAAAGTATATTCCATCCAATCAGTATGTACTCAGTAACAGCAGCTCTTATGTACATAGGCTATTTACCATAATTGGCCATAGAATAGTCTTCTCAACATAATCAGCGGATTTAGCTTATGGAATGTGTTGTGTGCCTCTGGCAGAATTAAACTAGCAGCCACTCATGAGAAGATAAGAAGATAATTGGAAAATCCTGAGTTTTTGAAATATAAGCAGTATGTCTTGAGGGTGGGAAAGAACTCTTTAAATACTAAGTACTCTACAAGCACAAATAAAAACAGATTAGACTTAAAATTAAGAATTTATGTGTATTCCAAGAAATCAGGAGGAGACTAAAAAGAAAAATCACAGGCTTAAAAAATGATAATTGGTAGACCTATGGCTTAGAAAAGAATTCTCCAAAAAAAAAGTACATATGTATTTTATTTCATATGAAGAAAATCTGTTAGGACCAGGGATGTAGTATAGCAGTAGGTAAAACACTTGTCCTGTATGTTTAAGGCCTTGGGATAGTTGCCTACCACTCAAAGAAAAAAATTTTTCTATCAGTAAGTCAACTCAGTGGAAAGTGAATAATATAGACTAGACATTTCAAAAGAGAATGCCCAGATAGCTAATAAACATGAAACAAAAAAAACAATCATCAAGGAAATGCGAATTGAAACCACACTGAAATACTAACATATGTTCCTCAGAGTGACTAAGATGTTAGACAATTCCAAATATTGTTAAGAATGTGGAATAACAAACTTGTGCTCCTGGTGCAGTAGATATTGGAACTATTGTTTTTGAAAAATGTTGATAATATCTTAAATTTCAGTGAATTAAAATAGTTGATGTGACAGTTTTATATATATACATATATATATATTTATTCTGACTACCAAAATGTGTGTACTTATACAGCAAAAGATTAAACATTAGAATGATGGTTGAATTATTATTTGTAATAGACTCAAGCTGGAAAACTCAAGTAGCTATTTAGAGTAGAATATATTAATAAATTATTACTTAGGGGTCAGAGAGATACAGCAGCCTAGCCTGAGACTGCCTGGGTTTCTCACACTCCCATTGGCTGTGGCACCCAAACAAAAAAAAAATAGACAAATTATTGTTTATTTATACAAAGGAATTTGTACAATGAAAAATATCACTATAAACATAAACACATGAATTGGCCTCATAGGTATTAACAGATAAAAAGTTCACACAGCAATTCCTTAATGTAAATCGGTTCTTGGGAACTGACTTTATTATTTTTATTTGTATTGTTTTTTGATTTTAGGTCACACTTTGTGATGCTCAGGGCTTACTCCTGGCTCTGCACTCTGGGATCACTCCTATTGAGACTTGGGGGACAGTATTGGGTGCTGGCCACAAAAACATGACTAATCCAAACACTTCTAATATTAGTTTCTATTTATTATTATTTATTAAGCTATTCTATTTTAGGTTCATGAGGGAATTTAACTGATTTTGGCAACTCAGTGCTCAAAGAAGGAACCAACACTGTGCAGGAAAGCCCTTAGTCCTCCCATGACAGGACACACATACAACACACACACACACACACACACTCCCACACACACACTCCGACACTAACTCATGCTAGGACAATGTAGATATGCCTGTAGACCCAAGATGCACATCTTTGTTTTGGGTTGTGGGAGAAAACCAGAACACTCACAGAAAATCCACATAGACATGAGGAAACTCCTCACAGATTGTGGCCCTAGAAGGGAATCCGTTCTTTTTTTCTTTCTCATCCATGAATTATGTTGAATGAAAAATGATAACTTGCTATACTGGGTCCACTCAAGCAAATCAATGAACAATGGGAGGACAGTGACAGTAGTTTATATATCAAGATTAAAACAAGAACAAAATTAATTTTATTAGAAGTCAGGATATTATTTATTAGAAAACAGGACGTGAAAACTATTCAGGTATCCCAAAGAGGATTCAAAAGAGCTATGCTTGGAATATCACATTTCACTCAAGTGAGAGAAGGAATCCAGAGTTCCGACCTCCATCAATGATTGAGAATCAGGGATGCTCTCTCATTTGCCAAGGTGTCAAAAATCAGATGGGCTGTACATGTAATGAGATTTGGAGATGCCCTCTGGGCTAGATCCGTTACCGATTGGATTCCACGGGTCGTCAAAAGGACACATGGCTGCCTTCCTACGAGATGGTCGGACTTCTTCGTCAAAACCCTAAACAAATGGTTTGTGGCTCTTCGTGTTCCTGGAGTGAGCAGATGCCATTGGGCTACACTAGCATGGGACAGGAACGAATGGAGACGTTATTGGCGCCTGCTTGAGCTAATCAATGATCAAGGGGATGACAAGTGATCCAAGTGATACAAGAAGTCAGAGTACTAGTTATCAAAAAAGATGAACAGAGTAGTGACTAATAGGGTACATAAAATAATTTTTTATAACTATTAACTGCATTTTGGTTCATATGAGTAGTGGTGATAATCATTTTATTTATACACAGATTATCTTACTATTTGTATATGCATATTATAACTTTGGGACTAGAGTGATAGCACAGCAGGTAGGGCATTTTCTTTGCATGCAGCCAACCCAGGTTCGATCCCCAGCATCCCATATGCCCCACCCCCAGCACTGCCAGGAGTAATTCCTGAGTGCAGAGCCAGGGGTATCCACTGTGCATCACCAGATGTGACCCAAAAAACAAACAAACAAATAAATAAATAAATAAAACTTCAAAAAAAAAAAGACATGTTAATTAAGAAGTTTTGGATCTGGTATGGTTGACGACCAAAGTAAATGTGAGAAAAGCTGAGAATGGTAGATCCTAAAGATCGGGGGTAAGAAAGGGAGATGATCATGTAGGATATTACCAGGCATGGGGGGAAATTTCATAATACTACTACATGATGGGAAGTCACTGGAGATTTGGGGGCAGGAAAAAGACATGATACAATCTTAAAAGTTTACTTTCCTGGTGTGTAGAGGATGGATCTTGGCAAAAAAGAAGAGATTAGCACTGGCAACAGATGATAGTGACTTGAGTTAGGTTTGTAATGGTGAGGATGGTAAAAGGTAGCCTGGCCCAAGATACATCTTCAAATTAAAGCTGCCAAAATGGGATTGAAGATTATATATTTGAAGTAAAAGTGGGGGATGATTTTAAGTCTGTGATGTCAAAAATGGAGCACATTTATTAAAAAGAATTGAACACTAAAATGCCTAATAGGAAGTTCTATGTAAAGTAAATAAACTTAATAGAAAATACGTGTCAGAATATGAGCTTGGTATGTTATAGTGATTATCATAAACTCTATCATACATGTATTTTTCTAATTCAGATATTTTTGTTTACTCAAATGTTTATTTAAAGATGACTATGAGGGCCAGAGTGATAGTACAGCAGGTAGGACATTTGCCTTGTACGTAGCCTACTCGAGTTCAATCCTCAGCATCCCATATGATCCCCAAAGCACCGTCAGGAGTAATTCCTGAATGCAGAGCCAGGAGTAAGCCCCAAGCATCGCTGGGTGTGACCCCTGCAAAAAAAAAGAAAAAAAAAGATGACTGTGAGGTGGTCCTTTTTAGTGATATTCAAGAAGTCAGATACATTTTCAGTCAAATCTTTATTTTTTAAAACTTGTGTTTAGTAATCAGTTCTAATTTTTGTTTAGTTTTGTTTTGGGGTCACACTTGGTAGTGCTTAGGAGCTATTCCTCTTCTGTGCTCAGAAGACACCCCAGCATTGCTCAGGGGACATGTACAGTGCAGGAGATTTTACTGGGTCAATGGCATTCAAGGCAGACACTTTATCTCTGTGTACTGTCTCTTGAGCCCAGTAACCAGTTTCTTAGAGTTATATGGTTGCTTCTGTCAAATATATCTGAGAAAATGATGTTGCTATTTTATTTGATGAAATATATGAATTAAGAAGTGTGTTCTGGGGCAGGAGTGATAGCACAGCAGGTAGGGCGTTTGCCTTGCACGCAGCCGACCCGGGTTCGATTCCCAGCATCCCATATGGTCCCCTGAGCACAGCCAGGAGTGATTCCTGAGTGCATCGCCGGGTGTGACCCAAAAAGCCAAAAAAAAAAAAAAAGGTGTCTGTTTTTACAGAGATACTGAATTTTTCTAGAATAGCTTATTTGTGCATTTTGATTACTGGTTTTACTCACAGTACTCAGGGGTTCTGGGAAGAATCAGTATTCTGTAATGCTTCATCTAGTTGAAATAAAAGGGCATTGAAAACAAGGACACAAAGCACAACATAGAATATTAATCAAAAACATCTTTGCTACAACAAATCTATTCCAAAACAGAGATACTCTTATATTTTGTTGTTGCTCAGTAAGTTCTTCTGAAATTATGTGATATAGGCTTTCCGGCAGTCTCTCCTGAAAGCATTCCCCGTGGGATATGAAGGTAATTTATTTGATTTATGTCTGTGTATGTATTGAGCTGACTTTTATGTTTTACAGTATTTTGAAACATTTTGCCTTTTGTTTCCCCCTAGGGAGTTGGCCTCTCAGTTCATGGGCAATTCCGAGTGGCTACTGAAAAGTCTCTTTTTGCAATGCCAGAAACAGCAATAGGTAAAACAAAAAAGCAAAAACAAAAACAACCCCCCCTTCCCCAAAGCCCCGTATTTTTATTATTATTTATGTCTTGTTTGTTCTTATTGTGACTGTAGGAGCAACACCTGGTGGTGTGGGATGGGGAGTGGGACTGAGTTGGTTTTGGAATCAAAATGCACGTGTTCTACCACTTGCACTACATCCTTAGCCCAGAAACCATCTTCTTTTGATACATTTCAGATTATACTGTCAAGGAATTGGTAGAATCTGTGTGATATACTGCAGTAAAAAACCTTTAAGAAAATGAATTAGGATAAGAAGATTCCTAAGTATATTTGAAAATATAAGAGCAAGACTAGCTGGAGATACTAGGACATTGAAGTAATTTTAGGTAGAAGATTATGAGGGGTAAATATACTTATATCTATGATCTATTTTGAGCTAACTTTTATATATTCCATGACGAATAGAACAAAAGTGTAGATTGATGTTTATTATTTTGCATGTAGAGAGACAATGTTTCCCACACCATTTATTGAAAATGCTGTTGTTTCTTCACTCACTGTCTTTCCACCTTTCTCTATATATCGATCTTCTCACCAACAATCCAGTCTAGATTACTTTGCTTTCTAGTAAGTTGTGGAATCGGGTAGTGATGATCTTTTGTTTTTTACCCTAAGTTGTTTTGACTATCAAGATCCATCCATTTCTGTGGTTTGTACAGTAAGTTAGTCAGTTTGTGTGTATGTGGTTGGTGGTGTCTCTGTGTTATTTAGGCCACGCTCTGGGGTACCCAGGACTTTCACTTGGCTCTGTACTCAGAGGTCACTACTGGCTGTGCTACTACATAACATGCTGGGGATCAAACCTGGGTCAGTCATGTGCTAGGCAAGCACCCTATCTGCTGTACTATCTCTCCAGCGCAACAGTCTTCAAAGCTCTGAGCAAGGTACATTTCCCTAATTAATTAGATCTTCCTTTATTTCACTCAGCCAAGTTTTTAGTTTCTTTTGGCATTAGTTCTTATTGTTTCTCTCAGCGTTAATTTTTACACATCCTTTGTCAGAGTTATCTTATGTACTTTCTATTGTATAATGCTAATATAAGTGGTAGTTAAAATTTTAGTTTATATTTATTTTTATTCGTTTACTTATTTTATTTTTTTATATTTTTTTTATTGATTCACCGTGAGGTACAGTAACAAAGCTTTCATGTTTGAGCTTTGATCATAAAATCATCAAACACCCATTCCTTCACCAGTGCAAGTTTTCCACCACCAAAATCCCCGGTATCCCCCCCTCCCCACCCATTCCACACCTCCCCCTGCCTGTGTGGCAGACAGTTTGCACAATACTTTCTTTCTCTAGTTACCTTCAATATTTCGAAACCAGTCCCACCACCGCTCATACCTCCCAAAAAGGCAATGCTAGACAATATGTTTTGTATTGCTTGTTATGGATACAATATAATGTCATGGCCACACGCTCTAGGAATTCTAAAATTTCAATAATTAGGGTCTGAAGAGATCACTGGAGCAAGTTGCAGTGATTTGTTTGTGTGTCTGTGCATCATGGCCATGTGGGAGCTTAAGTAGACGGTGGTCAGATGCAGCATCATCTCTGAGTCCCATTGGGGTGGGGGGAAGGACAAGGTCCCACTCCTCCCCTGTCCCATGAGGCTGCCACCACCTCCACCTGTACCTGGAGCTTGTCGCTGACTTCTAGAAAATGGCGGCCACCAGAGCTTCTAGAGGGCGGGCAAAGGGACAGAGCCTGCCCCCGTCTTGAGTTGCACAGTGGAAACGGCCTATTGCAAAGTCCGGGGCCATTTCTGCAGCAAGTTGCTCTGGTCTGAGGTTTGTTCATGTCTAGTTTATATTTTTAAAATCTAATCCTTAGATTTTCGTTATCAGTATCTAGCAATGCAGCTTTTTTCGGGTGTGATTCTATATACTGCGTACTTGCTAACATTATTTATTAGTCCTAGCATATTTTTTCCCAGTAGATTGCTTTGCATTTTCTAAGTAGATAATTTTGTCTTTTACCAAGAAATTCATTGGTAAAGTTTACACTTTTATTTCTAAATGGTTACTTTTAATTTCTTTTTTTCTTGCCTTAATGTACTGGTAGAATGAACCTTCAGTATAATGTTGATTGTAAATGTTGAGAGTAAATATTCTTAGCTTGTTGTTGATGCTAAGGGAAACTTTCAGTCCTGTTGAGTTTCGTTTGATGTAAGTCTTTTATAGATGCCCTTTATCAGAATGAGAACTGATTTCATTCTATTCCCATATTGCTGAGGATTTTTGAATAGTAGATTTTGGATTTTGTCTTTGTGGAGCGATAGTATAGGGGGTGGGGCATTTGCCTTGCATGCGGCTGACCTAGGTTCAATTCCTCTGTCCCTCTCAGAGAGCCCAGCAAGCTACCAAGAGTATCCCGCTCACATGGCAGAGCCTGGAAAGCTCCCCATGGCATATTCCATATGCCAAAAACAGTAACAACAAGTCTCACAATGGAGATGTTACTGGTGCCCACTCAAGCAAATCTATAAGCAGTGGGAGGACAATACTACAGTCTTTTTTTTTTTTTTTTGCTTTTTGAGTTATACCCAGCGATGCACAGGGGTTACTCCTGGCTCTGCACTCAGGAGTTACTCCTGGTGGTGCTCAGGGGACCATATGGGATGCTGGGAATCAAACCCGGGCCGGCCGCGTATGAGGCAAACGCCCTACCCTCTCTGCTATCTCTCTAGCCCCCTACAGTGCTATCATCTTTGTGTGTGTGTGTGTGTATGTGTGTCTACATCTAGTGAGATAGTTGTAGATTTTCTTCCTTAATTTGTTAATGATATTTTACTTGAATTGTTTAATAAGCATAAAACTAACTCTGTATTGCTGAGCTAAATCTGACTCCGGTATAGCCTAGTTGTTACTGTGTTTTTTTAATGTTGAGACTCTGGTATAATGCAGTTTCATTTGGAACTTTTGATTTATGCTCATTTATGGTACTGTTATGTGATTTTCTTATAACATTCTTACTTCATTTTTGTAGCAAGGTAATAGTGGCTTAATTTTCTGAAAGAATTTGTTTAGAATTTCTATCTTTTCCTTTTTTTCCCCTTCTGTTTGGTAGAATTCCATCTAGAATTTGTGATCATTGTCTCTCTCACTGTGACATTACTAAAGTCATAGTCTGAACATTTACTAAGATGGTTGGTGCTGTGTGAGCTTTCTGTGTTACTGTTTTCACTCATTGAGCTTAGTGGGCTTCCACACAACTTTTCTATATGATTTGCTGTGCTTCTATTGGAATGTCAGTACTATGAAATTTGGAGATGTCAGGCAGTTGCACATGCAGTCACGCATGCAGCCTCATGCTCTAGAAGCTGTGAAGCTGGGCTGTTTATATGTCTGAGGATGTCAGGTGTGGGGCTGTTGGGTCTCTCTGGAAGAGAGGGTCACAGAGTTTTCAGCCCAGTGAGCCATCTACCTTGAATGATTTGGCAGCTTAGTGGCTTGTTGAGCTCTAAAACTACTAAATTTATGTTTGTTTTTGTTCAAGTTTTGATACTTTTGGTCTTTTAAGCAATTTGTCTAATTTATTACCATAAACTAGTTCATAACAGTCATATATATATATATATATATATATATTTAGGTCACACCTGGTGATGCTCAGGGGTTATTCCTGGTTCTGCACTCAGGATCAAGCCTGCTGGGCTAGTAAGACTATAGGAGATGCCAGTAATTGAACCTGGGTCAGCCATGTGCAAGGAAAATGCCCTGTACACTGCACTATTGCTCTGGTCCCATATTTTTTTATTCTGTAGAATATAGATTGATGCTGACTTTTCACTCTTGCTATAGGTAAAATGTATCCTCTCTTTTTGAGTGTTGGAATATTGTATGATTGAAACCCAGTCATGAACAACTTTATAACTATGTACCTCACGATGATTCAATATTATAGAAACAAAAAAGAAGTGTCCTCTTTTTTGGATTCTATCTAAATAGAGGTTTATTTATCTCAAAAAAGCTATTGGTTTTATTTTCTACTTTGTGCTTTGATATTTAATTTTGAAATTTTATTGACACAGCATTGCATTATAAGTTTCTGTGTGTATAGTGGAAATCAATATCCATATATATTATTTCATTCCTAAAAGTCCCATTCTATCCTTTACTCTAGAGTTGACTCATTTTACCTGATTTATATACTGCCCTATCCTCTTTCCTTCTGGTAACCAAAATGTGCTTTTATAATCTAAAAGTTCCTCTCTTGTTCACATATGTAACTCATGTAGGTGAAATCATATGGATTCTTTTCTCTCTTATTTATTTCACTTAATGTATTACCATTTAGGTTCTACCATGTTGCTGCAAGTGGCAGGATTTTGTCTTTTTGTTTTTGTAGTTGAGTAATATGTATTCCATTGTGTATATATGCTACCTCTGGTATATCCAGTCACTTGTTTGTGGGTCACTGGATTGTTTCAAGCTTTTGTTTAATGTAAATAATGTTTCAGTGAATATGGTGATGCATGTATCTGTCTGATTTAGTGTTTTCCATATTTCTTTCCATAATGATAGGGTTCAAATATGGTAACACCTACAAGGGTGATTAGAGGTCACCCCAAAAGCCTCTATACCTCTCGGAAAGACTGGCAAGCTACCGAGAGTATTCCGCCCGCACGGAAGAGCCTGGCAAGCTATCCGCTGTGTATTCGATATGCCAAAACCAGTAACTACAACTGGTCTCATTCACCTGACCCTGAAGGCTTCACCGACATGGCAGCACTGAGAAGGATGAGAAAGGAGAGGCCGACAAAATCTCAAGGCCGACCTAGGCTGCCACAACGAAGGAAGACAAAAATGATCGTCTGTACTTTCAATGCACGTACGCTAGCATCAGATGCATCCATCGAGGACCTGATGGTACAAGCGCGAATGATCAAGTACGACATCATTGGTCTGACCGAGACAAGAAGGCACGAATCTCACCATGCCGTTTTCGACA